ACCAACATCACATTGAAAAGCCTCAGACATTTGACCATCTACTATCACACACGATTTTGCTTGAGAATACATATTCTTAATAACTGTGAACACCTTACCATCCACCCCTGACCTCAATAATTTGTGCCAAAGTGAAACCCTCTCAACCATATCAAAAGCTTTTCTATAGTCTATAAAAGCGCAGTAAATTCTCTTCCGTTTAGACAAGTAAATGTCAAGCAGGGATTTCAAAACAAAAATATGGTCTGTTGTAGAATAGCCAGCACGAAAGCCAGCCTGTTCTTTTCCAAGCTTGCATTCATTTTCGAAATAAATTGTTATCCTATAATTCAAGATAGAAGTAAACAATTTTCCCAAACAGCTTAAAAGTGTTATCCCACGATAGTTATCTGGGTCTGTATCCTTACCTCTATTTTTGAAAATAGGGACTATACTACCTAGACACCAGTCTTTTGGTACTAGACCACTCTCCAGTATTACTTTTAAAAAAAAACAGTAATACAACCAATTACAGCTGCTGAACAATTTTTCAAAAACTCATTTCTAACCAAATCTACACCACATGCCTTATTATTCTTTAGTTTCTTGATAATCTTTATAACTTCATCAACCGAGATAGGGGCATTCAGCTCATCATTGCCCATTGACTGGTCAAAATCCACATAATGTGTTTCAGATGCTGCACATTGCACATTATTCAAACTACTAAAATGATGCACAAAATCATCTAAAGAGAATGAAAATCTTTTCGTGAAATTTATTTATCTCATTGAATATGCGAATTATTTGCAAATTTCTCAAGGACAGGAATATTCAATTGAATAATCAATATAGAGTGCCTCCATGGAGGCTGCTATCTTAGCATACATACACAAATGCCCTGACCCTACTAGGCCAATATATTGCAGCAAACCTATTACTAGCCTGTCAGTTACATCCAGAGGTCCATTGCAACACTAAAAAGTGGTTAATATAGTTGGACTGTTTTATAAAGATATTTTGGACTAAAATTATTTAATTCCGGTCTGATTATTGGCTTACCAAATATTTTCTTCGCCCTAAAATACAATCAAATACTAAATTTTTCAAGAAAACAGTAATTGAATGTTGAAGAGCATATATATCAAAATATCAGTCCAATACTAAAAGCAAATATTCTTTTTTTCTTCCGTACCAGACTGGCCCCCTTTATCAAGGCAAAAGATTATATTCATAATTTCTTTATGCCAGATAATTACATCCTTGTCAATATCATTCAATTTTCTGTCAATATTCAGGATCTGGATATGATTAATCCACTCAATACACCAACGCTGTTAACCGCATCCATCGCTCCAACCATAGCTCATATGCCAATACACCATGCTGATCCCATGTGGAAAGTTTCCAAATGAAATTTGAATAAAAATCAAATATACCATGCACTGAGAGTATTCAGTTGTGTATTAACTACAGCTAGATTTCTTATCATTTGATAGATTGAGTAGATACCGAAGCCAGCTGTTTGTAACCGACAAGTCACCGCATTAATAGTGTTGAACACTGTGCTGGTGGATAAAACTTTCTAAAATTGCAATAAATATCATCTCACCAGGGGCGGCGATTTCTTTTCATGACCGGGGGGGGGGGGGGGGAGGAAATGCGAGGGACGAGGGAGCAGTGGCATAATGGGCAAAAACGTTTTTTGGGGCAGAAAAAAAAATCCGCATCACCACCACTCTTACATGTTACGCAGGCCCTGGGAACGTTTTTCAAAGTGTGTGTGTGTGTGGGGGGGGGGTAAAGTATTTACGATCAGGTAGAGCAAAGCAAAGCAAAGTGGGGCGTGCACTGGCGTGGGGCTCCAGGGGCAAAGCCCCGGCGGGTGTCAAAGGGCGTAGCCTAATGAAGCTCATGGGTTGTAGGCATTTATTGAAGTCAGTTGAGCATCCTGGGGGCGGAGCTCCCTGAAGCTCAGGGGTTTTAGGCATTCAATTACGGTCAGATGAGCATATTTTGATACCTTATTTGTGACACTGGCATGCAGGTCACTTATTGGGGTGGGGTCAAGGGGGCAGAGCCCCCAGAAGATCAGGGGTTTTAAACATTAAATTACGATCATATGAGCATCAAGAGGCCGCCTTAGGGCCCTTGGTGGGGTCCAGGGAGCAAAGCCCCTGGAAGCTCAGGCGTCTAAGGCATTTAATTTCGGTCAGATGATCAACCAGGGGCCCGACGTAGGGCCCTTGGTGGGGTCCAGTGCACCCGGAAGGTCAGAGGAAAATAATGCCATTTCTACAACATTTGTAAATCACTGGTATCGAATTAGAAATAAACCACGTTTGATTTTTCATTTTGGGGGAACTGCCCCTAAAGACCCCGCTCCCATCAGTACGCAAATGCGAGGGAGCATAGTGAATGAGAGGGGTGAAGGTGACGGAAGTGACTACCCCCTTAAAGGTTTTTCAAGTTCTGTTGTATTAAACAAATTATATTCCTTAGCAAAACTATAGTATAAACGTTAGCAATGTACTTTCTTCCCCTTCAATTTTCTCGATATTTACTTGTACATTTTGAAGGATATTATGCGAGGGAGCGTAGCTACCGAGTGAGAAGATTTTTGCATTTTTATTTGTTTAAACGCTGCACTCTTGGGCCCTCCAGAGCCTAAAAGTGTGTTGCAGTCTTTAGTCAGTATTTGCTATCCATTTTTTTTCTGCACTTTTTCAAGTTTTTTTTTTGGGGGACGTGTCCCCCTCCCCCCCAGATCGCCGCCCCTGCATGTAACAGCATAAAAATCGGGACTGATTTGTATGCCACGTCATGTTCGTGTAGTCCCATATTATTAATGTGTACAGTGCTTGTAACGTTACCAAGACTAGGCCAAATGTCTTATCATTTTGATGATTCCAGAACCTTGCAGTACACACCAAAACTTATATGCTAGATCATCAGGAGTTTTCTGATCGATTCCATTATTCTGAGGAGCATGAATAAATTAATTTGCATTGACAGATATGCACAAATTTGAACTTGAAATGAAATGTTTTCATTTTAGTGTCTAATTTCTCATCTCAATATGTTATGAAATGGTAGAAGGAAATGAGTGAAAATGAGATAAAGCAAGCTAGTGCAAAAGCTAGTAAGAGGAATGGTGAAAACAAGAGAAAAAGGGAAAGATGGAGGGAGAGAGAGAGAGATAGAGAAAGAGCTAGAGAGAGAGAGGGAGGAAGAGAGCGAGAGAAAGGAGAAGAGAATTACAAGGAGCAAACAATATTTTGACGACAATTAAAAAGTGGAATACTAATTAAGCTTTGGGGAGAACGCAAAATTATCTTATATATTTAAAGAAATTAAAAAATGTGAAGTACAGCTGAATCATAAGTTTGCTACAGATCTATAATTTATTTTTTAAATTTGTTTATCAATTTGTTAACATGTTGAAAATACACATGTTCGTATTTATTAGTTATAAATGTGCAACATAATGGACCAGTTTCGTAGTGTGTTCGGGTTGGGTGCGTGGGTCTTTGTCGGGGTGCCTGGATGCGGTGGCTCCATTCACCGTTTGGAGTGGTTGTGTTTCGGTGGGCGGGGTGTGAGTAACGTACGTTGGTTGTTGCTAGGTTGGGCGAGCTCTAATGTATTGTCAGCCTGGAAGCGGCTATCGTGTGCAATACCCATTCTGCCTGTTGGGATACGATTGTTCCTGGCGGGTGGGTGGAGTCAGTCGTGTCCGCGTGCTTCGCGGGGACCTGCGCATCCGACGTGGACACGTTGCGAAACTGGTCTATTACTTTTCAGATAGATAGTAAACAATTATCTATAGGTGTCTTGTACAATTCGTTCCCCTTCCTTTTCCTTTTCTTTCTCCTCCCTCTATTTATATCCTCTTCTCTCCTTTACGTCCTCCATCGTGTCCACCTTTCGTTCCTATCTTTCTCTCTCTTTCTCTCTCCCCCTCTCTCTCTATCTCATCACCTCCCTCTCTGCCTCTCTCCCCTCTCTCTCTATTCTGACTATTTTTTGCTCTTCATCTAGTCCATTTACGACCTTTTCTCTCTTCTCAATCTTTAAATGTCGACTCCTTTCTTAGTTTTTCCCTATTACTATGTAATTTATACTTGTGCTTTTTTGTTAATGTCATGATTTCGTGTAAATGTATGTACATTATGTGACGTAACTATACACCTAACTGTTTATCAATTATTTTGTAACTACTTTGTATTTTGTTAATGTGCTGCCAGTGGAGGCCAATTTTCTATGTTTTGAATATGGATCAATAAAAATTATCTATCTATCTATAAAAAATCATAGCTTCGCGGTTATCCCTCTGTGCTCCCTCTCTCTCTCCCTCTCTCTCTCTCATATCGGGAGTTCCAACTCTCTGCTCATATCCTCCTCTATACACGCTTGCTCCAATCTTTCACTCTCTCTCTTTCTCTCTCTCTCTCTCTCTCTCTCTCCCTCTCTCTCTCTCATATCTGGAGTTCCAACTCCCTGCTCATATACTCCTCTATACACGCTTGATCCAATCTTTCTCTCTCTCTCTATCTCTCTCGCTTTCTCTCTCTCCCTCCTATCTTTCAAAATTACCCCTTTCACGACATGACCAAAAGAAACTAACACGAGGAAGCATGATAACGTCATTCCATTTAATGAGACAATTTGGACAGAATGTGTCAGAGAAGAAAGCAGCTGATTAAAAATGTGACTATTTACAATCAGAACATACTGTCTAAGTCGTTGATTTCTATTAATGTATACGCCTCAATGTTTTCCTTTACACGTTTCCTTTACATACAAAGCACATTCACAAGGTCGTACTGTTCAATGCATTATATCAAACAATCACATTCTCCAGTGAATTGGCTAAACCTGTTGTCAACACAATACTACATTGGGCTACATGACTGTAGGCATATTGATACTTGACTTTGAAACGAGATTAAAATTGTATATATATATACGTATTTCAATTTTTATTTTAAAGGCAGGGTTATATATTGGTTGGGGTTAGGGTTAAGGTCAATCATGACTGATAATAATATTAATAATAATGAACGATACTTGTATAGCGTATCACTAACACAAAGAAAGTCCATGATCACCAATGATTTGTGTTTCGCATTAATTTGACAAAAGTCTCAACAAACAGAGAAGTCGTCTGACCACATGGAGAAGATCCAGCTAGTCTGCTTCCCGAACTTTTCCATTCTAGCCTGAATCTTCTGTTAAAATAAAAGAAAAGGAAATATGTTATAAATGATTCTCGGGTGTTTTGGCTGTGTACTGACAATGTGCATGCGCCGGTTGCAAGTCAGAAAGGGTAAAGTGCTGTGATATGTTGTGATTCTGCTAGCGGGATAATAAAGAGTCGTACATGTGCATTCTGCGAGCAGTGTAGAATTGGGTAAAACTGTGCACATAAGAGGTCAAAATGCATGTTTGTTGAATAAAATGTACCCAACCTCGGTTAAACAATACCGAGTGTTGGTAAACTCTTACCCAACAAGCATGCATGGTCCCTTTTCCCCTCTTATGTGTAAAACGTATCCAACCCTTTAACGAATATGAATTTAAATAGAGACAAAATATGGATTGGATAATTCTCCCAATTATAAGTAACTTTAGGTATGATTCCATGCCCTCTATACTAAAATGCAATCCTAAAACATAGGAAGTTGCCAGCCGTGCTTAGTTGTTTAATCATCCTATATTAAATCATCAATCAAATGACAACGATAGTTGTTCGAGCCTGACTCGTATGAAATAAACATGCTCTCTATAATGTAATTTAAAACAACAAATTATGCAAAGTCTTTTTGATCAAAATTATGCAAACTTATAAACCATCTTGTGTCATAATTGTTGAGTGCTCCTTGGTAGTCTTTAGAACAACACACTCATTCGTAATTAATATTTCGGTGAACAACAACGTAAATGTTATCAATACAATTATTTATGCCTGTACTGCACATACACGAGTCATATATCGACATTAGCAGTATTGCTATTATTAACTAAATCATTACGTTCAATGGCATTGATCATGTTGAGGGTGGTAACGGTAAAGAGGACAGCGAAATAAATTTATCTTGCTGAGTTTTGAAGTTTGTCTTTATTGACCTTTCTCATTTGCATGACTATCTAAGAGAGGTGTTGAATCAAAAATTGGGGGTGGATTATTACTATTCATAGAAAGAGCATTCTATAAAATATGCGTTTTTTAAAAGATTTTTTAGATCATTGATAAATCTTGACTTACCATCACAAGATACTAAGTTCGGTCCCTGGCAGAGGCAATTAATTCCGTTGCGAACACATTCTGCAATACGACAATAAAAGACCCCCAAAATAATGATCGAAACAATAATATATCAATTCAAATCAAACAACACTTGGGCGGTAAATCTTGAAATATCATCGACAAGGATATAAAGTGACAACAAGTGTTAATCTTTCTAAAATGTTAAATCAGCGGCTTTCTCTAACAAACCTCCCTTCGTGGCCGCCTCTTTATTATTAGGCCATCCGCCTTTAGATGTCACCGATATTGCCTCCAAATATAGAAGGGAATATGTGTTGAAGAACCTGTCTGGAAGGGCCACCTATAGTCAGTGGCCCACTTTATATGTTTTCATTTGGTGGCCTTAAAGGTACTATGTCCCGTTTGCAGGCCCAAAAAATGAAAAAGTTAAATTCCAACGGCATTTGAAAGATGATACTAATTTAGAACTCCCCTTAAAAAGTGGGGCTTGAAAATGTCTTTAAGTTGGAAAATAACAACTATTAGTTGTCAAATCGACTTAGGGGCTATAAAACCAATAAGTAATAGTCTTGATTTTCAGACCATTGTACTGCATGGTTGTTCGTTTTATGCTGCGCAAAGATTCAATCAGTTTAATTTTGGCCATTACAAGAAGTGGGTTATTGATGTAGACAAATGCTCACGTACCCTTTACAGCTCATTTTATGTATGTTATTACCAAAGAAGGAAAAAAGCCAGTCAGTCACTCAGTAGTGTCTGACAATGAAGTCTAGCAAGTAAACGGGTTTCCTTGCATAATTTGAATATTCGGACACTGCTAACGTTTAAATTTTACAGATAGGACACACATGACATAATCATAATTCCTGCAAAGTTCTACAGCATTTGAGGTTCGCTGCAAAAGGGACATAGTATATTTAAGTAGTCGGGTTTGACTGTAGTAATGATAGTGACAAACCATATTTCTATGGTACATATCACCACGTATGAAGTCCCCATTTTGTAATAGAGAGAGAGAGAGAGAGAGATGAAGCGGGGGGGGGGGGGGTGGAAGGAAACTAACATGCATATAATTTTAATACTGAAAACAACTCTGATAATATTTAATTTTGAAGACTCTAGTTGTCTATCTTTAAACCTCAGCGCACACTTTCTCAAACCTGTTCGGATTATGTGAAGACACTATTGTCACGTTAGCACATTTCAATATGTGACCGTACACGCCTACGGATATTGTCATTGCTTTAGGTTGAATGTTTTGTAATTATATTAGTTTAGTTAGTTGACATCTTTAAAAATGAATCGCTTACCAACTATTGGGTTGCGTACGTTTTCCCCGACATTCAAGGCATCAGAATTGTCGATCGCATCTTCCTCGACTAAAACACTTGCTGCCAGGGCCAAGGCAATCAGAAAGTAGAGAGCAATCAGGATTTTTGACGCCATTTTCAAAGTCTAAATAAAATAGAGTCAACATGGAATACATTTTGATCATTTGGTAAAAGTTAGGTGAAATCGCAACACAACTAAGAATATCAGCATAGAATAGTGACCTACTGAAGCCTTCTTTTACCACTCATCAAGAATGAACAGAAAGCTGAAATCGGACAATATAAAGATACATTGCGCGACAAAAAACGGGCTTCGAGACGATTGTCTGCCAGAAAATACTGGAATTGTGGTTTCCTCCGAAGAATGCAAGGCAGAAAGCTTCAGAATATCTACATTCAGTCATATTCTCCGCTTTCTGAAACCAAACAACTGAACATGTTTTGAATGCTCTATTGAAAGACGATGTTCCCGGCCCTCTTATATACACTGCTGTCTTTACATGCACTTAACAGCTTTACCCCACCCTCCTTGAGAAGACGATGATAAAGATTCATCGCTTAGTTTCATTTTCACGGAATAGCGGCAGGAGAATGTAATGTCTTTAAATTGCTATCAATGCACGGAAAATATTAAGAAATTTAATTTAATGAATAATCTGACAACAGTACTTGACCCCGTACTTGACATACCATCTTGTAATATTACTCAAACTTCCCCTTTAAAAGTGTTGGGTACAATTATTTTACACAAGGGAGGTTAAAAAGGACCATATTATTATTATGTGTGTTGGGTAAGACTTAAAACCAATCTTCAACCAATTTTAGGTACATTTTACTCCACAAACATGCAGTAATGATAATGGCTCATACCCAATTATTATTTGATTTAAAAAAAAAGAAATTTAGGAAGGTAGGGGTAGGTTAGTGTGATTAATGAGGATGATAAGATGATGAAGCGGATCCTAATCAAATGATTGGTTGAGAGCGTACACGTGACCAGGCATTTACTTTGCCTAACACGTAATTTTACTAATAACTGGTCATTAGTAAATACTTATGACTGGTCATAAATAAAATCATTTTATAAAACAAATAAAACATCATCTTATTAAACAATAAATTAATGCACATCATTTTGTTTGGGCATTAGTAAAATAACCTTCGAAACAGTCCAGTTACAACCTCGGTCATCGCCTCGGGCGTGTTAGACTGTTCCAAAGGTACTTTGTGTGTGGGTATAATTCTTACTAATGTCCTCACTGCTGTGTATTATTTGTATATTAATGCCTTGCCGAACGAAACTAGCACCCTTTAGTGTTACGAACCAGGGATCTCCCGATTACGAGATCACTGGGCCATCACAATTAGAAGCATATAGCTCCCTGATTAATGTGCACTAAAAGCCCGTTGCACAAGAGGCGAAGAAATGTCTAAAGAAACGCAGACCTACGCTCAACAACTGAATATATATTAATTATTCCCAAATCCAGACTCTCATCTACCAAAACACGTCCTACATCGGCTGCTTCGAAAACGTAGAACAATTTTCCCCTTTCCATTTATAGAGTATTAACCTGTCTGTCCACTTTCAGAAGATCCATTAAAAGAACATACTTCTTGCTTCAGTAATATAGTATGATTTACCTATTTATGAATGTTATGTTTCTTTTAGCATTCTGTTACTCTGTAAGCGATAAAGTACTTTTTGTTTTAGCGCTACTAAATAATCGATATCATTATCAATACAATTAGAAACTGTAACAGGCATAACGTAAGAGATGTTGGGCCTACCTGATTTCGATGCGGTGTTCGAGTAGAATTCTGTGAAATGATGATAAACTTTGATGTGACGAAGTGTCTCTATCCAGCTTTCTGTTGAAGTATTGTCTAGATAGCTTCTAGTTTTATAGAATATCGAAGCCTGCCATAACCATCTGCTCGTAACCGACAAGTCACCGCATTCATTGAAAATTGAAAGTGTTCCAAAAACAGGCTGAAGATAATAAATCGCTTAAATCATGGGAAATCGATGTGCAGTTCTGGTTAATAATTGGAAATTGTTGTTCCGTGTACTGTGTTCTATTTTTGAAAAACATGTTGATATTACCAGATAGGTTTTGTTTGGATTGTTTGTGATTTAAATTCCCGTTTTCCCCAATTTCCTCATAATATTCCAGAATTACAACGCACAGGGCTTATAAAGACCATGGCCTTCTAGTTGTTTTATAAGGTCATTGGTGCGTGCAAAAGTGTGCAAATCAGTAATAATAAATTTCATATCACCCAAATCGTCTGCTTTTTAACTTTGCTGCTCCCCATTGGGGATGTTTTTATTGAAGACATACTCTTACAGATTACACCATCCAAACAAAACCCAAGAGAGGGAAACTGCTCCTTTGTCAATGCCCGAAAATGCTTACGCAGTCGTTATTGTTAAAACAACTGAATGTTCTCATTAAGATGCACATAATCAGAAGGCGGTGACTATCATAGGATCAAAGAAAGAATCACGTTTAATTTCCATCCATAATAGGTCCATGATTAGACTGCCACATGTTTTAGCTGAATAACAACGAACTGCCCCGGGCACTATCTTATTTGTTCAAGAAAGAAATCAAGTCTACGACTACCCTACCCGACAGGCGTTTTCCTATCACCAACCTGGAACAAGAACACGCTCTGTTAAAAATACCTTAATATATACAGGTCCTAAGTTCTGGAATTCTCTCGATTCTGTGATTAAAAGGCCTGTAAGTGTTCATGTATTCAGAAGAAAATTGGAATGTTATTATTTGAATACATATTGTCATTCCTGATTCCTGACTATTCTTGTCTCCAAGCTGTATAGTTTTGTTCATTACAATGAGTAAAAAACGGTGTGACCATACCAACTATGTTTATAATTCATGGGTGTCGATCCCGGGGGGGGGGGGGGGGGGGGGGGGGATATATCCCCCCCCCCAATATTTCAGGTGGGGGATGGCCTGTACAATCATCCCCCAGTAATTCACCATAAAAAAAAAAGGAAGAGTAAAATTAATGATGAGAGCCCGATGAAAGTAGTTAATGGTTATTACTCGCAAGATGACCATCAATATACACATTTTGCTATCTCATTTTCATAAGAAATACATACATAAATAGAAAACAAAGTAAATGAGACAACCGTATATGAATTCTCGCTCATACGGCTTCATCAGGAATTGATGAATTTATTCAATTTATTCAATCCAACAGAATCATAGAAAAGCAGTGCGCCAAATGCAGAGCCGCAGCGTTAAAAAGCAATGAGCTATGTTAAGCGCGAAGCGCAAAATAGAAGTAGAGAGTGGGAGAGAGAGAGATAATGAGAGACAGAGAGGATAATAACCCAGGTAGTAAGCCCATGTGGGAACAACATGGGTCCCATATTCTCTGAAACATGGGCCCCATATGGAAAACCATCTGGGGCCCTTAGGCATCTGCACCCAAGAAGCATATTTTCAATTTTTCAATTTATTTGCTCATAAAAATCCAGAAAACACATGAAAACATACATAAATCAACATGATACAAAGGATAAAATTCACAAGAAAAATTAATAACAAAGTATACATTTGGATTAAGTATGAGAGGGACAGCAAGAAAGGAACAAGCCTTGTGATTAGCTGACCCTGTAACATAATACATTAAGGACGCTACAAAAAATAACAAATCACTTACAACAACATAAAGGGGGGGGGTATACCTATACATTTAAACAAACAAACTTGGTGAATACCTGTCTAAAATTAAGTGCCTAGATTTTGACTTAAAAACATTTAACGAAACTGCTTGTTTAATATCTGAAGAAAGAGAGTTCCAGATTTGGGGTCCTTGAAATAATATTGAGTTTTTAAAAGATGAGAGCCTCGGTTTGGGTAAATGAAAATCATTAGCATTTCTTGTATTGTATCCATGATATTCATTATTGAACTGAAAGAATGTTTTAATATAGTCTGGCAAGAGGTGATTGTTACATAAGTACATAAATATAAGTACCTGAAATACATATATATCATGAAATTTCAAAACACCTGATTCAATAAATAAAGGGTTGGTATGGGCAAGGTAAGGTGCATGAGACATATTTCGTATTGCACGTTTTTGTAAAATAAACAATCTATCAATGTGATTATTACTTGCATTACCCCAGACAAGAATACCATAATTAAGGTACGGATATACAATTGCATAATAAATCATTTTTAAAATCTCCTTTAGAAATGATCTTAAACAATACATTATTCCTATATTTTTTGCCAGCTTATTGCACAGACTATCAATGTGATTTTTCCATGTAAGTTTATGATCTATTGTAATGCCTAAAAATTTTACTGACGTTACACACTTAATATCTGTATTGCACACTCTAATTGAAAGATAATCTGGTATCAATAAATTACTAAAAATAATATAACTGGTTTTTGCTACATTGATTATCATTTTATTTGCGTAAAACCACTCAGATATTAATTCAAGTTCAGAATTGAATAGATTATGTAAGTCCTGACAGTTAGGATGGGATAAAAACAGACTGGTGTCGTCAGCAAACATAATACAATGTAATAATTTAGATACTTTACTAAGGTCATTTATAAATAAAAGAAACAACAGTGGTCCTAAGATAGAACCCTGTGGTACCCCACATGAGATAGTCCCTTGCTGTGATTTGCATTTAGAAATTTCAACATATTGTTTTCTATTTGATAAATAACTTTCAAATAATTTAAGTACAATACCTCTCATGCCATATAATTCAAGTTTGTGTAATAAAATAGCGTGATCTACTGTATCAAAAGCCTTCTTCAAATCTAAAAACATTGCAATCATATATTTCTTGTTATCAAGAGCATTAACAACAGTGTGAACAAAATCAATAAGAGCCGATGACGTCGAATGTCCAGGACGGAAACCATACTGGTTCAAAGATAATATATTGTACTTGCTTATAAAATCAAATAATCTATTGTACATACATTTTTCTAAAATTTTAGAGAAAATTGGCAAGACTGATATGGGTCTGTAATTTGCAACATTTTCACTTGAGCCATTTTTATATACAGGAACCACACGAGCAATCTTTAATTCATCAGGAAATATACCTAAATCTAAGCATTGATTGAATATTGCACAGATGGGTTGACATAAAATATGTATAGATTTCTTTATAACCTTGATACTTATATCATCGTACCCAGGACTGCAATCTCTCTTTATATTAGACACAATATCAATGATCTCGGAACATGTGATTGGTTTAAAATAACACGTACTAGAATTCCTATCCAAATAACGACAAGGATTCAAATTTAAATTATTGCCCTGATCAACAGGATATTTCAATTCAGATACAATATTAATAAAATATTCATTAAATACATTACAAATTTTGGAGGTATCATGTAACACCTGATCATTAGATATCAAAAAATTAATACTGCACTTTTTATTTACACGACCCATTGCACAATTAACTATGTTCCAAGTCTTTTTCATATTCCCTTTGGCTGTTGCAAAATTTTCCATGAAATAGTGTTTTTTAGCTTGTTTAATCATATTATTGACTTTATTCCGACATTTTCTGTACACTTCTTTTCGATACGGTGTTGGGTTTCTCAGATAAAGTCGATATGAACGACATTTTTTCTTTGACAACTTACGAATATCAGGATTGATCCATGGTTTATTTTTTTTGGGTGTTTTTTTCAAACATTCTAAAGGAAAACACAGATTATATACATTTAAAAACCTTTCTAAAAATTGCACATAATTTACATTTGGATTGTTATTATGGCAAGACCATTGGACCATCTGAAGGGATCTTAAAAAACAATTTATACTTTTATCATTGATTATTCTTAATGGCTTATTAAAATTTTGCTGAGATTGAATATCATTCCAGCTAATACAATATACAGGTAAATGATCGCTGATGTCTGTTATAAATATTCCTGATTCAACATTGTCTACATTATTAGTAATTACATTGTCAATCAAAGAAATTGTGTCGTCAGTGATTCTGGTAGGATGGTCTATCAACTGATACATATGATGCGACAATAGTAAATTGATGAAATTATCAACATGTTGCACTTTACCTACATTCAATAAATTGATATTGTAATCACCTAATAAATAAATAATTTTATTTTCACTATTTACAACGCTAAAAAAATTTGAGAATCTCTCTAAAAAATCATCAACAGACTGATCCGGAGGCCTATAAATTGACCCAACAATTATACCAGAATTCTTATTGACAATTTCCACAAATACACTTTCAATACAGCTATCGGTCTGTTCTAAGTCGGGACGTCTTATATATTGCACATTATTGTTTACAAAAATCCCAACTCCTCCACCCCTTCTTGACAAGCGGCTAACGCCTTCAAATTCATAACCATCTATATTACACAAAGGGTGTATGGTGTGCTCCTGGAACCAGGTTTCTGTGACACATAGTACTGTAGGCTCTAGTTTCACACTGTTTAAGAATTCAGTGATATTATCAAAACTATGAAGAAGACTTCTTGAATTCAAATGGATACATGAAAGTGGATTTGCAGATTTTGCTTTGTTTGTAATGTATGTATTAAACTCATCAGGTGTAAAATATTTCTTACAAGGACAAAAATCAATATTATCAAGCGATAAAAATTCATGCAAGGTGTTTAAGTCATGGTTGCATTTACTTAGGCATTCTCTCAAATTGTTACAGGTAGACATTTAACAACAACCAAAAAAAAAATATATAAAAAATTGATGTTCAAGAAAACAAACAAACAGTACTGAACAAAGGCT